CCCCGAGACTTTATTTTTTATCCTGTGTATTTACGCAAATTTGGAAATAAGCACCAAAAATGCGGTGACTTCAGAAAGTAAGAATTTACGTGCAAAAATACGATTGTCAATCAGGGATGCCGAAAAATAAATTGATGCTGCAATTATTGCAATAGATGTGTAGCAATAATCTATTTTTGGCATTTAACCGATAGGTAGCAGTTATCTATTGGACCAACCAAATCACTTCAATAATCTATTGGACCAAACTACAACCAACCATCTCCTTGTTAAGCAAGGACAGCAGTCACCACAAAATTAGCCCCACATCGACGCCAACATACATAATTTTCTCACTTCCAAATCCACAAGAAGCCCAACACCACCGCCAGCCCCCAAGATGCTCACCGCCCCCCGCCCTGCCGCCCCTGCCACCTTCACAAATGGTCAAGTCGCCAACTTTACTTCCGGCCGTGCCGTGACCAGTACGACGAGGTAATCCTCGAGTATTACCGCTGCAGATGCGGCAAGGTCCGGAAGCGAGTCACTGGAACTGGCTTCACAAACCTGATGCAGCATATAAGGCGGGAACATTCCTCCTTTGCTGAGGAGATGCTAGCGGCTACGCCTGGCCAGACTGGGTCTGTCGCTCACTACGTGAGCCAGACTGCTCAAAACACATTCGGGTGGTTGGAATTACTGGTCAAGTGCAACCTACCGCTTTCGTTCTGTGAGAGCAAGCTCGCACGACGGTACGCTCGATAATATTTTCCAAGTTTTTTTTTTAATCAAAACTAACACATGCTGAAATGCAACGTCAGATACAGCAACCTACAGCCTGTCTCAGTAGAGACACTCCGGCGAGTCATGGAGGCTGTGACTCGAGCAGTAGAACGCTCGATCGCTGTGGAGCTGCCCGAGCGATTTAAGCTCGTCTTTGACGGATGGAGCCATGAGCATTTTATCGCGGTGTTCGCGTGGTACGAGGTGGACGGGGCACTTCATTGTCCCCTTCTATGCATGGCTCCGCTCGTCAACGACGAGACCGACGATCTGTCTGCGGCCACTCATCGTGCCTTCTTAGAGACTATGCTGGCGCGGGACTATGGTAAAAGCCTGGAGCAGTGTATCTTCTTAGTAGGAGACAACTGCTCCGTTAATCGCCGCCTCGCAGACCTAGTAGGAGTTCCACTGGTCGGGTGTGCGAGCCACAGGCTTAACAGAGCCGTTTCCCAGCGTTTAGGCGAGTGCGCGGAAGACCTTGACAGTGTTCAAGCGGTCATGATCAAGCTGCGTACGCTCCATCACTCTGCTAAGCTCCGGTAAGAAGTTTGACTATTTTTGTAAATATTTTTAAATTTTCTGTCTATTAACAGTAATTTTCGATAAATGAATGATTACAGGTTTAGCACGGACCTTCGCCCAATCATACGTCAGCACACTCGCTGGGGGTCCTCGTTTGCCATGGTCAACAGGTACTTTGAGCTCCTCCCATTCATAGATTCAGAGGACGACGAGCTGGCGGAGCTGCTGCCGCACGCGGCATCCAGACGGCGCTTGCGCGATCTACTGGGCGAGCTCAAGGACGTGGAGTCAGTGGCGAAGGCGCTCCAAGGATCCAACGTCGACCTCCTTGACGTTCGAGTATGGTTTGACAGCCTTATTGCGGAAATGCCATCGTTTGCGCGCTACCTAGGTGAGAACTTTTTTCTGGTATATTGCTTACACTTATTTGTACTAACAATATATTAATGCAGCGCCAAGGGCTGATATTGTCCACAGTCCAGATTTTGAATCTGAATGTGTCCGAGTGCTGAAGGGCCAAGCCAAGCGTCTGACCAGGGCGGAAAAGGCTGCGCTCGAGAGATTTACGGTAGTTGCACGTGCTCAAGATGGAGCGGCTGGTGAAGTGGAGGCAGACACGAACGCTTCCTTCGTCGAGAGGGTCCAGAAACGCCGCCGGCTGGAGGAGCGACAGCCCTCGTACGATCTTGTCGCCTCCATCCCTCCCACGTCGAACATCGTCGAGCGCTTTTTCAGTATCTCTAGAGCTACGTATGGGCAGCAACGCCACAGACTTCAGCCGTATACGCTGGAAATGCTTCTGTTTTTGCGTCAAAATGCAAGTTATTGGGATGCTCGTACAGTGGAGGGTGCGGAGTGATAGTATGAGGCTAAGCACACAATATATTGACACATTATTGCATCAATAATCTATTTCTCGCGTCTGGCTTGTTCAATTATCTATTCAGGGCTCACATGCTGCCGTCACCAATAATCTATTGTCCGCTATGACGTGCAATAGATAAAAATGCAATATTCGGCATCCCTGTTGTCAACTAGTGCATCGTGTTGATATTCGAGATGCAAATATTTAACGATATTCAAACAAATTGCTGTCAGCTTGCTTGGTTAGACCTTTAACTTCGTCGGTGACAGTAAATACCATCTCGTGACAAATCTAGCTGCTGTTGCATCTGCTTCATAGGGTAGCGTATTGCCGCGACTGGAAGTTTAGCTGGCTGTAGCGCGACCACAAAAATACCGGTGACATTATACAGAGGCGCTGGCGAAATCATAAGTATAGCGTTTTCATTTTCAGTTTGCTTAGTGGGTCACGAAAAGCGACACATTAAATAGTTTCGCTTCGTAATGCTGTTTCTAAGAATAAAATGTTGGACCACGGAGCTGTCAGAGGAACTGAGTTGTATTGAGCAAAATGCAGAATGATAAAAAACTAAGACACGAATCAATGCAAGTGGAGCTCGCGCGAAAGTCTCGAGTCGAGACTCCACTGACCAACATGCAGCTGTGAGAACAGAACAAGCGCTTGCAGCCATCATGTAGGGATACCAGTAGACTTGTGGATGAAAAAGCCATCCCAGCCTCTTGTTCACGCAGCGGCTGTACCAACAGTTGCTGCAGCAACTGTGAGAACATTACATCCTCCCCCGCTTTACCTGCGTCTGCGGTCGATGAAGCACGACGTCAATTTTGCTTGAAGGCCTCCAGTAGTTTATCCCAGTGACTGACATGACTGATGGCATCCTCGAACTCCCAAGCGCTCTCGCGCTTGGGCAAGTCCACCCATGGGCAAAAATACTGCTTTCGTCCACCACGGCGACGCTGGTCAAGTAATGCCCGGATCACGTACACATGCTCGCCATACAACCGAGGTGCACGCTTAGTGATCTCCCGACCACGGAAAATCTCTGGGACGTCAAGCGAAAGCTTGAGCTGGTCCACATTGAATGTGGCATGTCGTCCACGGGCCCAATAGTGATGCGGTAGTGCAACCAGGGCCGCCGATTATGATATTTATATGAATGGAAGGCTCAGTGTGATCATAAATAATGTGACGTTGTCTAGCAATCGACTTCATAAATAATGTCATATCTGCTAGTGATAAATCAATTATGGTGATCGACTCGTACTTGTATTGATTAGCGCGTTATGGGCTACAGGAGTTGATCTACAGTAGAAACATCCCAAAAGCGCGAGTTTTCTCGTAGAAATAGGATCATTTCAAGCGTAATAGGCTGTAGACCATTACGCTCGTGCCCAAGAGTTGTGCGAGCAATACTGAAGAATCGCTCCACCTTGTTCGAGGTGGCGGGGATGC